TTGATATAATGATAAACCTGTCCTTGCACACGAAAGGTATAGATTCCTCTATTTCTATGCTCTAATTGTTTGTTAGTGGTAACCCCGAATGAAGTGAAAGCAAATGAATTATTATAGGCACGAATGTACTTCAAGAAATGAAGAGAATTTTTTAAATGACCTGTGAACAACTCATACAATTGAGATGGAACAACATTGGGACATAGTGCAATTTCCCTAGCAGAACAACAAAAACCATATGGCTCGAGATCTATTTTTTTTTGCATTACAGAAAGAACAACATGATCCATTTGGTAAAACAAAGGCTTCAACTAGTGTATCTCTTTTTGTGATTCTCTTCTTCTTTCTATAGCATAGAACAAAGCCTACGGAGAGTATAAATAGAATTTAAGAATTATTTTCTATCTAGCTGGGTGTATAATAAAAAATAATAATAAGAGAAGTTGTTTAAGTACCATCTTCAGTGTCAGTTGTTGTGTTATTCTGGAAATCATTAATACCTATATAAGATACATGTATGAAGTCATAATGAGAAAGACTAATTATTATAGTTGAAGAACAAAATAAAAACTTTGATGATGTATACACTGTAGAACTGCTGTTTCATCAAGTGTGCTGGATGTAGAACTTAAGGATTAGGAAAAAAAATGTGTAATTATACATAAGTAATTGAAAAAGAAAAAATGAAATTAGTTGTTATCTAATAAGGAGAAATGAATTTTTTCTCTGATAGAGACTGAAGAAATTATACCTATTTCAAAGGTGCTATGATTGATGGTTGCTCCTTCAAGACTAATTTGGGAAGGTTTGGAAAAAATTGATGTAAGAACAGGACGTTGAGATATTCCCAATGGTTCATATTCAAATAAACTGCTTGATTCATTGATACGGTATATTTTTGTTGGTCGATCTTTTTGTTTTTCTGCTCTTAATTCTCGCCTCCTTTGATTGATGCGATCTTTTCGTTCTTGTGAAAAATTTGCATATGACACTACTTTTTTTGGCTTTTCCGACATGATTGAAACACTATACTGTATTAAACAACAATATATACTGTAACAAATTAATAAATAAACATTAAAGCGCAATTGCCATTTTGATAATAATTTTATTAACATTGTAATTCTGATATAGCATGTACACAAAACAATAAAAGAAACCATACAAGGACATTTTACAATTACAACAAATTACAAAAATTAGACTCAGATCATAATTAAGATTAAAAATATATTTCCAGGGAATAATAAATTGTACAAATTAATACAATTAAAGATTATAAAAATTGAAAGTGTAATTAATAATAAATTTCCATGGAATTTATATTACATATTTGCGCAAATTGTAATTAATAATGTGGTTATGATTTTTAACAGAATTTTATTCATTATGTTGGTTGAAATTAATTAATTAAGTTAATCAATTTACATATTTACCTGTAAAAATACATTCTATGTTTCCATTATTAATAATAAAAAAAAATGATAAAATTGTAATTAATCGAATCAAATTATAAGACCAAAATCACACAATGACTAAAATATATAGACTATTGGTATAATTTGCTCAACATATTCAAAGTTATCTAAATGCAATCATTATAGCTAAATGTAGATTTCCTAGGTATGATGAAGATGGATGATATCATCAAATTAGAATGGAACTAAACTTTTACTTTTTAACCAAATCAAATATATATGTAATAAGGTAACAAATCAAAGCATAAAATGTGCAAAAAAAGAAGTCATTTTACTGTAATAATACCAAAACTGGCTACAATCACAGTGCCAGTGGTGAATTTGGAGCTATAATAGGAACTATGCAACTTAATAGATGAGAAGATGAAAATATAATTAAAGTGAACTACTTTAAAATAATATTAAGATTTAACATCAGTTTTCAAAAGGCACAACACAAATAGATAAAGTTTTATATTGAACCCATTTAAACCAAAAGGAGATGGATTCATGGAAGTGACATAACATTAGAGGCATTCATCGTGTGCTTTTGTAGTAGTATATTTAAAAATAATTTTTATTATATTTATATTTTAAAAGTTGTAGAATAGCATACTAAAGGGGTTTTTAGGGACATTTAAATAAGCCAAGTATCTTTCTAGATTTATCTTTAAGCATTATTCTTTTTTCAAAATTATGTCATTTTTTTTTACTTTCCTAATATGTATATATGAATAAAAAATAAAAAATAAATAAAATAAAACAAGCCAAAATAAGTAAAAAAATAAACTTTTTTTTTGGAATATTTTTGTCTATTCTAGACTTACTTTTATTTTTTTAATAAATATTTTTCTGATTGCTCTAGTTGAGTAGAACCCTAAACTTTTTTGAAAAATCAATTCACCAAAGCAAAAATAAGTCCAAAAAATAAATAAATAAATAAATAAATAAACCAATATATGAAAAATCATCCTTTTCCGTGTAGATGAATAAAAAAAAGTTGAAAAATTACAATAAAATAAAATAAGCCAAAATAAGTCCAAAAAGTTAATTTTTTTTGAATTATTTGTATTTTTTGGACTTGCTTGCTTGATTTAATTTTTTTTAAAAAAAATTATTTTTCTAATTGGTCTAGTTGAGTAGAACCTAAATTTTAAAAGAAAAATAAACCAACAAAAAAAATCATCAAAAAACTAAATCCCAAACACCCTCTAAACATGGAAAATTTAGGATATACATATTTATTTATGGATCTATGCAAAGAATATTAAAATCTTTCAGTTTTCATTTTCCATCACTTTCTCAGCAACCAAACAACACAAGAATAACATAACTTATAAGAAAATTTCAGAAATTTAAGCCAAAGCAAAATTCAGAATTTAAATTCTAAATCCCAAACCCTAAACTCAACCCAGATTGCAACTGTTGGATTCAACCTCACCCTATAAAATTCACACTAAAAATCAAAATTTCATGCGAATACCTCTATCAAGAATAGATTCAAAGCATGAGAAGTATGAAAATTGAATTGAAAAATACTTGAAAATGCAAATTTACGATGGCATAGATTGAACTCTGATGAAAGTTTTTAAACTCCAAAGTTTTCCACTGCAACACCAAACTTCTTGAACTCCAAATGCAAATCTTCCCGGCAACACCACCATCTTCACACTACACGAGGGATTAAAGCACCACAATGACTTTTTGATTATACTATATACATTGAAATTATCCACATGTAATGATAATACCTAAATGTAGATTGATAGGAATGACACAAATTGAGGATGAAATCTAATTATAATGGAACTAATCAAATTAGAGTAGAATTAAATGGTGTGTTTGGTTTGTGTTTTAAGATAATTTTTTTTTTGAAAAAAAATGGAGAGAAAGTTTAGAAATTTTTTGGTTTGTTTGATTGTATATTTTGAAAATAGTTTGGAAGTTTGGGATAATTTGATATTTTATTATACTTGAGTAAATAAAAAAAAAATTGAAGGAAAAGTTTAGGGATCTGTTTGTTTGAGTTTTGAAACTTTAGTTCCAGTCATTGGTTCTCACATGGTATTTGTTTGCAGCTTTTAAAAATTAATCCCTTGCTCATTTTGAAAACTCAGTCGAATGCGGAAAAATTTGGAATAACCAATAGACCCACCGGTCATCCGGTCAGATGATCGGAACAGTACAAATATTTTTTTTTTGTTTTTTTTTTGCAATTGACAAATGTTAATTTTTATATATTCAACAAAAAAATATTTTTCAATTTTTTTAAAAACTTTTTATGAGCTTTAATAGAATTTTGAGTTATGTGTTTGGTTATGAGTTGTAAGTTTTTGTATCAAATATCATATGTCACATTAAAAATTTCCCACTAAATTCAAAATTCTTTTCAAAACTCATTTACCAAACAAATTTTCTACACTCAAATCGTAATTTCAAAACTCACAAACTCAAAATACAACTCCTATTCTCAAATCATATTTAGAAAGCTCTATCAAACGCTGCCTAGATTTTTTTTTTGTTTGTTTGATTGTATATTTTGAAAATAGTTTTGGAATATGTGAGTTTGGAATGATTTGATATTTTGTTATAGTTGAGTAGATTTGTGTGAGAGAAAAAGTAATTGAAAAGGAAAAAGAAGAGGAAAAAAAAATGATTGATTGATGTGTAAGAGAAAGAAAGTAATTTTGGAAAAAACAAATTTCAAAAAATTTGAACTAAACAAAAAAAAATTTCAAAAATTATCTTGAAATATAAACCAAACAAGCCCAATGCATTATTTGTTAACCAACCTACATACATATATATATATATATATATACTAGGGATAACACGGTCAATAATTTTTTTGGTACCACACGGGTTACGGAATTCAATTGTAATAAGTCAATTTAAAATGATATATCACTCCAGTTTAATACTTCACAAATAAGAAGTTGAAATTGTTTCTACATAGTAAACTGGCAAAAACATTCATAAATTTCAAATAACAAACTTCAAAATTACAGTCCAAATAATGAATTTTATATTACAGTGTAGCATAAGCAAATAATAGAATCTAAAAATATTTGCTAAAATTCAAGTCCAAACAACAAATTTTAGAATTCAATCCACGTCAAAATGACACATGTATAGGAAACCTTCAATAAAAGGATGTTACTGAATTAGTATCATAACCGGTAACCTTTTCACTTTATCAAATTTCAATACCTTCAAGAAAGGTGAACGAATATTTTGGTACAAAAGAGTAATCATCCTATATAACTAAAAATAATAATAATTAACCATCCGGTTTAGAATGAGAGCCAACCAACTACACACATAAAGAGAAGCAACATAACCCAACGTTTCCAATACGGATCAGCCACCTATAACAAAATCACTCACTTAAATTCACTTTAAAAAACCAATAGCTATGAGAAATCGCATCAAAATACATATGAGAAATCAACAAAATGATTCTTTAAAAGCAACTCTAATTTGACAACAAAATGAACTCATTGTAGTAATAAAAATAATAATAATTTGAAGAACAATAACAAATGCATGAATAGCTTAATATAATATTATTGAATCAGATGATTTTACGGTTTCAATTTGAACAATACCAAAAAAACTCAACAAACCCATGTTTAAGAGTGATAATTGTATGTTTCACACTTTTTTGCAATGACATTGTCATAGCAATGGGACTAAAGGCTTGGTTTAATTTGGTTTGGTTTGGTTTGAACATTGTCATAGCAACAAATAATCTTCTTTCAATTTGTTTTGTAATTAATCCCCTTCTTTCAGCACAAAATTCATGTACTTTCTCTAATAGCTCTGAATATATCAATGGTAAGCATACTTCTGACCCCATCATTGGCTGAAACACACATGAAAAATAGCATTGAGCGAAGATTCCAAACATGAATGTAAGAGATAAGTTTACTCAGGTTTTACATAGTGAAACCTATCAATAAAATGATAACTCTTGTATAGAAGTCTTCCTAGTAGAACCGGGGAGCAAATTTCAACAACAACAAAAATATGAATTAGGCAACCTCTCCAAACACTTTGATCTAGATAATGAATTACTACAGTCAAGCAAACATAGAACACGCATTGATGACCTCGCCATTTTTTCAATTATCTAAGCTCTGTAAATAGATCAAATAATAAAAATAAAATTAAAAAGCCCTAAAAAAACACAAACTATTCATCGCAAAATTCACGAAAAAATAAAAAATTAGTGTCATCACTACTATAAAACACATTATTTGTAATCTCTGAAAAACATGATGAGGCCACAATTTTAAGTTCCCAACAATGCATGAAGCAACACATGACAAATTAATTGAGGAAAAAAAAAAAAACAGAGATGATATGAAAAGCATAGCTTGCATTGGCCACAACAAATACTAAAACTAATTTGGAAGGAAAAAATGAATCTGAACAATAATCCCGCAAGCAAAATCAGTTTTTTCCTTTGATATAAAGGACCAATCATCACTTCACAAATAAAATCAAATGTTTTACATAGAAACAAAATGAAGATGCCATCTAAGTTTGAATGAGACATGAGAAATTGCCCTTTTACTCATAAAGACTTTAATACAATATTTAAGCTATTGCTATCATAAAAAAGAATCTCATGGATGACTAAATTAGTGCATCAAATCTTTAGTTAGTGTATGGATATTACTCAGTACAACTGTATCAAATCATTCTCCCATTTTCTAATTTCTTGTATTTTGTCTTCTACAAAACAAATTGCCTCCCTAAACATTTAGAGTTTTCAAGTGCTTTATATGGTTCAAGCCATCCCCAAATCCATCCAGAGAATAAAAAAAATTACCAAGATAAAATGTGGGAAAATGAATCACAACATAGCTAAAACCAAAGCAAGTAACCATACACCTAAACTGAGACTTGAAGCAGCAAAGGAGCTATACATAAACATAAAGAAAAGGAAAATCAAAATATAACTAAATTATGTACAAAGCACAATCCCAAAGACAAAAACGCTCAACGAAATTCACAAAATGCCATTATCATCACTTGCAAAGAGGTTGTGTGTGCGTTTGTGTGTGTGTGTGTGTGTGTATGTGTGTGTGTGTGAGTGAGAGAGAGAGAGAGAGAGAGAGAGAGAGAGAAAACCTAAGTATGTGTATGTGTGTGTGTGTGTGTGTGTGAGAGAGAGAGAGAGAGAGAGAGAGTAAAACTAAGTAGAGCTCTTTCTGGTCTTCAAATTATGTTGTAAAGAAACTAACTTTTAAGGTAATCCCACTTACATCAAAACCAATAGAGCTCTTCTCCTCATTCAAGTCTAGGAATTCAAACTAAGTAGAGCTCTTTCCGGTCTTCAAATTATGTTCTAAAGAAACTAACTTTTAAGGGGGAGAGAGACATTTGTGATAGACAAAGGTATTGGTAAGCGAGAACCAGAGGTCTAGCATCAACACACATGTTGTTCAACTTATACTTTTAACCGTCAGATGTTGATTAGGATTGATCTCAACCATTAAAAACAATTTTATCTCTAAGACAATTGTAGGACATTTCAAAAACCCTTTTGGTTTATTATATAGATAAGTGGATTTTCATTTTTGTTTTGTGGCCTGTCGAAATATATAACCCACTTTGAAATCAACCATCAAAAGTATTCTTACGCAATAACAACCTTTATTGCATCAACAAAGAAGCCATTATAAAGGGCTTTGGATCAAGAGCTTGTGGGAAGGGGAAGTGTATGCAGATGTGAGAGAGTGAAAGGGGTTCCATGTTTGTGTTCGTCTTGAGTTCCCGGAGGTCTCGGCCACGCGCCTTGCCTCAGGATCTCTCGACTCGACTGTTTTGTGTTTGGTTTAGCACCAAAACTTGTGTTTTGCTTTGGAGGGGCAGAGAGTGGCTTGTGGCCACCCCCACACCTCACCGGCCATGGCTTGAGGCCACCGGCCATTGTTTTGTTGCCATCGGCCATATGTTTGGTCGGTCAGCACTCTTTGTGGTCGGTCGACCATGTATTTTTCCATTTTGTCATTTTTGGCTGGCCGACCACTGTGTATCTGTTTTTGCAGATATTTTTATACCAGCTGTGCTAGCTGGCATACACCTTGCCCCCCCTCCATACACGTGTATGGAGGGATTTCATTCTTGCTTAGCTTGTCTTGTAAGCTTTGCAAGAGTGATCCTCTATTAAAGGAGGGCTTCTCCTCCCTCCTCAAGGGTTAGAGGGTTGAGTTCCAGAGGTCTGGATTAGGGTTAGCCATAGTGTATCTATTCTATCTCTATATCTCCCTCTCTTTGTGTATAAATGTGTGTTTGTCCTTACTTTTGTGCACAAACACCTAGTTTTACACCTTACCTTGGTTGCTGAGGAGCCATTAGGTTGTTTTGAGCTGGTTTTGAGCTAAGGAAAGCAGCTGGAGTGCTGTTCTTAAAGGGGTTTACAAGGGTAAGAACTTTACCTTTAAATACCCCATTTTTGCATAGTCTTTTTGCCTACCTTGGATCTGTTTTTGAGCTTAGTGTATAACATATAAAAGTTTTGTTTTTACTTGCTTAAAATAGTTGTTTAAGGTTTCTTTGAGTTTTGGAGTTGTTTGACCCCTCTTAGGCCTTGTTTGGCCCCCATTTTGTGCTATTTTGGTGAGCTTCGGGACCACCTTGTTTGGGCCTCCTCACCACTGAAATCTTAAGGGATTTCAGTGGTGGGGATGGTGCTTTAAGGTACTAAGAAGGAGAGGGCCATCCCTTCTCCCTGTTGCCTTCAAAAAGTGCCATTTTAGCCTCATGTGTGAGCACCATTTTTAAGTTCATGTTGGCCATGTCTTAAGTGTTATTTGTGCTTATTTTGTTATGATATAGCACTTTTTTTAGTTGGTTTAGACACACCATGCATGCTTAGCATACTTGTCTTGTAATGCCATGAATTTGCCTTAACATGCTTTGTGCTTTGAGCCTTGTTACGACATGATTTTAGCCAAACTTTGTGAAGTTTTTATGCATGATTTAGTACGCTTTAGCTCTATTTTTAATTTCTTTGGCCATGCTTGACCTGCTTTGTATAGCCACCTTGCATTTTGGCTTGCTAGCCTCGGGTGTGTGAGTGTTTAGCATGCATTGCTTAGCTTGTTTCAGTGGTTTGGCACCACTTATAGCATCATTTCAGTCCCCATGGTATGCTTGTATGCTTGCATTTGATGCTCTCTTAATGCTTTAAAAGGTTGTAGTCTTGTCTTCCATGCGTAGGCCACTTAGATGCTATCTAGGCGTGTCCTTAGCTTTGTTCAGGTCTGCATTGGGACTACTTTAAGTCCTCTTAGCCTTGTGAGGCTTGGTTGGTATGGCCATGATTTAAGCCCCTTGGCTCACCTTGAGTTTCGGACATCGTTGCATGCTTAGTTTGTCTTGTTTACTTGGTTTGGCACCTTTTATAACATGATTTCAGAGCTTAGTATGCATGCCATTAGTCCATGATTGTCCTCCCTTTTAGTGTGCTTAAAAGTTGCCTTTTGATACTTAGGAATTGGATCATGTATGCATACATGCTTGTATGTACATTTGGCCCCATTTCAATAGCCTTTGGCCACTGTTTGGGCTTAGTAGAGAGCTGTCCACCTTGGTATGAGTCCATTGTTCGCATGTGGTTGCATGCTCGCCTTGTACGTTGTTGAATACTTGGCCTACCGCATGTGTTGCATGCTTGAATCATAGTGCATTTGACATGCATTCTCATCTTTGTTTTGATTGCTTAACATGCCATATGTTTTGCATATTTGCATGTTGGCATTGCATCTTGCATGCTCAATTAGCTTGAATACTTGCTATATGCTTTCCATGCTTGCCACATGTTCATGTTGCCTACTTAGTTTCCACGCCTAGGGTACATTGTATTGAACATGCATGCCTTGCCTCTTGAAATCAAGTGATAGAGGTTAGGCCTTTATGTGCTTATTTGGTTTGCATTTCATTTGACATGAAAGTGCACAACTTGGTTTCTTGGGCCATCATGCATTGAAATGCGCGATTAGTGGTCCGAGAATCGAGTACTATCCCCCTTTGAGTCATAAACATGATAAGGGGTGTGTTAGTGCACACATTTTCTTGAAATGCATTGCCATGCCTTATTTTGCCCTCTGCTGTTGTCAAAACAGGTTCTGCAAGAAGCTTTGGCCGGTCGACTACATCAAGTGCCGATCGACCAATTATTGATGGCCGATAACTCCATAGATAGTCGATGACCACTTCTATTTGGCTGGTGACCATTCCTCATGGCCGGTGGCATTCCTCAGTGTTCATAAGGTATACCTTAGGAATTGTGTCATTTTTAGAGGAGCAGAGCAGGGAAAACAGAGGCAGGGAATATATTTATGCTTTATTCACTTATGTTTAAGCATGTTATTGTTGGATGATTTATGAGTTTATTTTGAGGGCGTTACACTTACACAGATGCATGTAATGTTTTCAATGAAGGAACTTGGAGATACCTCCTATTTTTTGGGCATCTCAATACATTCTCATTCTACTGGTTATTTCTTATCTTAGCAGAGCATCCTCAAGAACTACTTCATAAAAATGTTATGGTGAATTGCTACAAACCATGACCTACTCCTATGGATCAAGTCATCTAATTCTGCTTCTGATGAGCTTCCTTATGCTCAGGCTTCGACTCAACCTTCTTTTTATCAAAGCCTAGTTGGAGCATTGACTAACTGCATAGTATTTCCATTCAAACTTGAATACGTGCATCGAGTTGTCGCATTTCACATGTCATCCTTAGATTAGCCGAGCCTGTTCTAATGACATTCAGTATGCGATGCAATAGCCATTTGTTAACTTGAACTAGGATCATGCATGGTTACTAACTAGTTCATTGCTTTGGCACGGAGTACGATGTAAGTATTTATGCTTTAGCATCTCGCATGAGTGTGAATGTTAACATGACAGCATGCTTACCATGTGGCTATGTGCTTATGTGATATTACTGCCTGAATGCCTGTGGGTGAAGGTTGGATTGTTTGAGTTGGAACAACTCATTGAAATCTGTGTTTTAGCCTACTCGTGAGTAGCAAATTTCAAATCATTTCCAAACAAACGGATATGCGATACTTTGTTCCAAATTAGGCGATCTAGTCTATACTTTTGTGCTGTGCGCATCACATAGTAAATCTAGGCTAATAACCGGAATAAGAACCCATAATGTTTTCAAAACAAGATATCATGGTTAGTAGAGGCTGATCTTCGGATCGGGCGAGAGTGGGTACTCATAGCTGACCTTCCTCAATCGTACCCAAATTCCTGAGCCGAGGCAACTTTGGTGATGGCAGACACATAGCCTTAGGCAAACGAGTCAGGGTTTCCTAAATTCCCCCAAAATAAAATATTTAGGTGGCGACTTTGTATCTGGCAAAACAGTCCATGTTTGACACTTCTTTACAAAAATCTGTTTTTCAAAACGATTTGCCGGATTTGGACTCTTTGGTTCAGATTAAGAATCGTGACAATTTGAGTCTAAACTGTAGTAAGCCCAAATGAACGAATCGGGATTTCCCTCCCGGGACGTTCGCGGGGACGTCTACACCATTGTAAAGGGCTTTGGATCAAGAGCTGGTGGGGAGGGGAAGCGTATGCAGATGTGAGAGAGTGAAAGGGGTTTGTATATGTATGTATATACAACTATTTATAACAATTGCAAAAATTAAAGTCATCAAACACAAATAAAAAGTTCAATTTCAGGTTCAAACCACATTAAATCTTAACTCTTCAACATGATTTTAGAAGTTCAACTTTTAGCCTCTAAACACTTGATAGAACATTTAGAAAAATTGATCCAGCAAATATAATTAATTTCCAACCAATAAAAAAATTTCTGAACATAAAATTTAGCATGTAGCATAAATATTAACTATCCAGTTCATACTGATATTTTTGTCAACGTACATTTGTAATCATTTTAACTTATATCTCCTCTTTTAAACTAAATCAAATTCATTAATTTAATTGCAGACCATTTCGCGCTGTCGTATCCTCCATATCTTTCCCTCACTGTTCTATTCAATTGGTTGCACTTTTTTTCTCCTATACCTCCATTTCCCGACATCCCATAACCTCATTGCACAACCAAACCCTTTCTCCGCTTTTTGTTTAAGTTCTCTCTCACCCATGACATACCAATGCCATGAAAATGCATTTTCAAAAGTAGACCAACTAATATACTTCAAACAAAAGTAACTATTTGAATTGAAGCTTAAGGTGCTTAAATTTGGATTGAAGTTTTTAATTTCATAGTTATGATCAATCTAATTTTAAGATGTTTACATTATCCAAAATAATGCGCGTAAGATAAAAACTTGATGCATTTTTCGTTATCATGAAAGAGTAAAATATGAACAATTTATCAAATAAAATAGTACTCAAGACCTAAAAAATGTATTTATGTCAGAAAAACATAATAATTGCTCCAATTATACACTGAGTATCAAACAAAGAAGCTGCATTATAGCGATTGCGGTTCTTTCTCCTTTGGTTGTTGTATCCAGACTTGGTTCCGTGGATGTCAGTTGTGGTTTATATCTTGTTTCCGTCCTTCAATACTTTGTATTTGAGTTATAGGATGTTTTGGACAGGATTGTTACAGGTTAGGTGTGATTGGGAGCAAATGGCTGTTGCCCAGAATTTTGGTCCTTCGCTCGAGCGAGCCTTTTGTCGCTCGAGCTCGCTCTGTGTTATAGATCCTTCGCTCGAGCCAGGGTTCCTTCACTCGAGTGAGAGTTGAGTTTTGTATCTGGTGGCTCGAGCGAGAAGTCCTTCGCTCGAGCTTGCATCTGCGTCTAGTTCTGGACCTGAAGGTTGCAATTCTTCACTCGAGCGAGCTTTCTTTCGCTCGAGCGAGCGAGGTCAATGTTTTGGGTTTCTTCGCTCGAGCGAGCATTCTGTCGCTCGAGCGTGCTTCTGGGTTGCAGACCTGAAGCTTTGAATTGTTGGCTCGAGCGAGACTTCCTTCGCTTGAGCGAGGGTTCTTTGTGTCTGGTCACTCAAGTGACCAATCCTTCGCTCGAACGAGCCTATGTTATATCAGTATACAGCAGGGGGTAAAGACTTTACTTTTTCATCTCTTTTGATTTCAAAACCCTAGATTCAGCTCTCTCTCTCTCTCTCTACACTTAACTTCTCTCTATGGTTTCATCTATTTTTAGTGTGTTTCTACCCTAAGTTCTTTGTAAGAAAGGTAGAGGGTCGCGAGGGCTTTGTTTTAATCTGAACAATAGTGGATTTGGAGCACTTTGGTTTTTCCTCATCTACTCCTTTGGGCTTCTAATTTCGAGGTAGGGATACCCTACTCCATCTTATGAGTTTTGTCTTTAATTTTGGTCATTTTGATTAGTTGGTGATGTTGGGTAATTTTGGGAAAAGTTAGGATTGTTGTGTAATTTATAAAAGAGGGGTTTTCAAATAATAAAACCCATATGTAGGTAAGACATTGAGAAATGGAATTACTGTTGTGTTATTGATGAAAATGAACCTTAGGATTGATATTGTGGATTAGGGAAAAATGCCCTAGTTATGTGATAAATTAATTGGTATAATTAATTTGGGGAAATATGAAATTGAATTGGAAATTGTGAAATTGGGAAGTTATGGGATTGGATGGTGTAGTTGGATTAATTTATCACTCACCTACGTAAATGCTGATATTATATTTGTTTAATGCATTTATTTCCTGTTTAGAAATAACTGCTTTGGGCTATCGGTGGAGGATAGTCTTGATTGTTGTAGACACTGTATGTTGATTAGGGAAAACTGAAACTAATCACATTGATATCTATTGTGAAGTATGAAAGTGTTTTAATATGTCATTGATACAGCAAATATGTGTATCTATTGTGAAATATGGAAGTGTTTTAATATGACAATGATCCAATAAATGTGTGTATTTATTGTGAAATATGGAAGTGTTTTGATATGAGTTGTTATCTCATTTAAAAAGGAAGTGCTTTAAAATGAGTCGTAGTCTCATTAAATTGTTGGCCAGGTTCTGAGCCATGTTATGAATTGAAGACTTGATAAGTAAAGGAAAGGGAAATGTAACATGGACATAATTGTCATGGAACTGTATTGTGATGTAATTGGTTTATAAGTGTTAACCATCTATCAAATGCTATTATTTTAGTTATTGCTTATATTTGGTTTAGTATATCTCTACTGGGCTGTGGCTCACCCTATATGGGACATCATTTTCAAGTCTAGGTAATATGCCACCTCCAAGGACATAGCTTGGGAGGTTCTGGGAGTTGAAGACTCTTTTTGTTGTTTTGTTATCTTTTGATATATTACATGTAAATTCAAGCCAAGGGCTTAATTTGTATTTGAGTAGTACTCTCTTCTTGTAACCAAGTGTTGGCTTGGAAAGTTGTAAGCCCGTAGGGCATTTACTTTTGTTGTCAACATGTAATACTTTCGTAATGAATACTCTGATAAATGGAAAGATGTTTATTTTTCTTATGTCTATGCATGTCAAGATTGTTGGGTTTTAGGTATTATTTTGAGGGCGTTACATGCATTCTGAAAGAAAAAAATAACATGAAGATGAGTTTACTTCGTGTCTTATGCTAGTGATCATAGAAATTGAATGTCAACCGCAAACTAAATTGATCTAGACGTAAACTGTATTGCACAACCACCACCCTCACTATATTCCCCTCCGAGAACATCATTTTAAATTTATATAGGAATTTAAAAAGGAAAAAGAAAAAATGAGGGAAATATAAAGTTATTATGATTCAAACACAACCTTACATACGTAAGCAAAATTATTTTTGTTGACGAAATGGTACCAATACATGTTTTATAATAGATAAATGCATGCTCTTTACAACTATTAATTAGTAAGCAAATTGATATGTACGTAGTTCCCCTAATATATTTTCTGCCACTGGGAATCCTTAAACCAGTTAATTGATCAAATGTAAATTAACCGTAAAGATAGATATGTGATTTTTTTAATTATAATTCATAACTACACAACTGAGTGAGTAATAAGCTTGTGAAACTGGGCAAAACTTTCTCAAGCCAAAAATTATTTCTACCACTCTACCCATTGGCAATATAAACTTAGGTTTTTTCTTAATGTTGTCCCTAAGCCAAAATATTGGTTCTGCCACTAAATCCATTGGCAACATAATTTAATTATGAGACTAGGCTTGATTGTTCTAATGCTATGTCCTGAAACCATAATGTTGAAACCATAATAGAAATATAAAATTAGAAAATATTGTTCTAATGCTATGTCCTGCGAAGACTAATATATTGAAAGCGTAATAGAAATATAAAATTAGAATAAACAGCACCAAGAACAAAGAGACTATCATTATGTTTAGAGACCAAGTTTAAAACATTAACCAACTTTTAAGAGTTGTCTCAATTTACGGGTGATGCTACATTTCCTCCTAGCAAAGGAGCAATAAGGAGGATGTGCTCCTAGTAGCGCTTGATCCACCCACTCGGCATCTATTGGGTTACTAAGTGGAGTAAATGATCTTTGACAAAATCATAGAATCCAAAAATCAACTCAATAGAAAGGATAGCAAACTGAGTGAATATTAAATTAAATTGAGTGAATATTGTTTGTGTCGCTAATTCTATGCGCCCTAGGTAACATACTGAGTGAATATTTATATACAAATTAAATAACATAAGAAATTAAAGCTCTTATCGTTTCCTAAAAAAAACGCGTCTCATCAAATGGTTCAACAATTAGAAACTAACCTCTCTGTATCTCATAATGGTTCATCAATTCTCATCTCTGTCTAACCCATTTTCGTCAAATTTATTGTCTCTCGCAATAAAACCTATCAATTATGACCCACTTCAATTTAAAATTCAAATTTAGTAAATAATAATTTGAATTTGAATACATAAAGACATCCAGTTAAACTAACCTAGAACAATGAAACTCTCAACAACCAATCAGAGAATTCCAAGAAAATACAAAGACTTTTGCTAATGAGATTAATTAAAACTTGAACAGTGTGATACTACAAATTTAAACCAATTAACTCATGAATTATTTTGTTAAGAGCCTATTCGTTATAAAAATAAAAAATAAAAAATAAACATAACAAAGAAAATCCATGAGCATCAAATCATCCATCTTGTTGTGCCCTTGGGTCAACATCCACTTATCCACATGCAAGAAAGAAAAAAAAAAAAAAAAACCTCTCCTACATACAGGAACAAATCTAGTAGTCCATGCCTAAACTGATGAGCATGACAAGTTTGGTAAAAAAAAATTCTTATTTTTTTGATGACATGACAAATCTCGTACTCCATGGCGTAACTCAGGTTACACCTAATCTTACATTCCTAAACATGTATCAATGTCAGCATTAAGAAAAGCATAACAATAGAAAGGATAACAAACTGAGTGAATAGTAAATTAAACTTGGTGAATATTGTTGTGTCCTATACATGGCAAGATAACATATTGAGTGAATATTTATATACAAATTAAACAACATAGAAATTAAAGCTCTATTTCTTTCTCTAAAAAAAGGGCTTGTCAAGTGGTTCAACAATTAGAAATTAACTTCTCTGTATCTCATAATGGTTCATCACATTTCATCTCTCTCTAACCCATTTTCGTCAAATTTATTGTCTCTCGCAATAAAATCTATCAATTATGACTCACTTCAATTTAAAATATCAAATTTAGTAAATAATAATTTGAATCAGAGAATTCTAAGAAAATACATAGGCTTTTGCTAATGAGATTAATTAAAACTTGAACAATATGATACTACATATGCAAACCAATTAACTCATGAATTCTATAATTCTGTTAAGAGCCTATTCGTTGAAATAGAAAGATGAAATGTGGTTTAGATTTAACTAAGACAAAATGTAAAAAAAAAAAAAAAAAACATATAATATAGTTGATTTCTTAAATCATTCATTCATTCTTGCTCCCCCCACCCACCCCAATTTGATTTTAATAAATCCAAATAATGATAATTGTAAGAATTTTTTTTTAAAAAACCATACTTATAAATTTCCAACACAACCAACCAAAGAAATAATCACAAAATAACAATGATCAATCATTGCTTAAGTAAGAATACAAATCAAATATGTACCACAAAGTTTCGACATGAAAGGTCTTAAGGAAGTCCTCAAGCTGCCTAATGTGAGCGTGTTAAGCAAACACAATGCTTCAGACACAATGTATTGGACACACCTGATCAAATATTACACCTAATCACAAAACTGTAAACATCAATAAAGCAATTAAATTGGACAAACCTGTTGTCAAACCTGCTGGAAATTAACAAACCTTCTAGAAATTAACAAACCTGCTAGAAATTAAAAATTATTGAAACAAAAGATATCAAAAAATTATAGTATGTTTCAATCACAAACTGTAAACATCAATAAAGAAATTAGATTGGACAAACCTATTGTCAACCTGCTGGAAATTAACAAACCTGCTAGAAATTAAAAATTATTAAAACAAAAGATATTAAAAAATTAGAGTAAAGATTATTGAAACATATTACAATAAAGATTATTGAAACATTATTGAAACAAAAGAATAAACCTCCATCCATGATGGAAATATACTTGCTGGACCCAAAAAAGATAGGTTATTGAAACACATTAGAGTAAAGATTCTTTTGCTAAACGTTATACTATTAACATTCTGCAAGATTGCTTATCCTGTGCGCCCATTACACTTGAACTCATTAAAGCAAAGGATGAGAAACCACAAAAGAATCATATTATTGAACACGGACTCTAAAAACATGGCAATCTGAAACTTCTCCATGGTCAGTATTCTTGCTCACTATTGCATACTGTATCTTTTGTAGATGCTATGCTATAGAAATTAGAGTGAACTAAATCTTAAACTAACATTTTGATTGTTGCACATGTATGGGTGGGAATAATCAAAAAGAAGAATAGGCTTGAAGGGATTTCGAGTACATTATTTTTTTAAACACTTAATCAGCGAATCCTATCTATTAGTGAAAATTTACCACTAAACATTCACAATCAAAATAGAACAAAAATTGCCTTATGTTAAAAGCTTATAAAAATTGGCTTGAACAAAAATTGTTTTATGGACCTCTGCTTAAAATTACAAAAAAAAAAAAAGGACGATTGATATAAAAAATTATAACAAATTTTGCTAAAAGCTTAATTGTAGTACACTTACAATCTTACGTTAATCAAAATTAGATAAATGTAAAAAAATTAATAATGTCGTCAAAGTATAAATGAAAATAAAAATTTTATCCTTCAAAGTTTATTTTAGTACTTTTAAACAATAAAACCCAACAGCGACCACTACCAATTTCTATCTCTCACATGTATTTTTTCAAACACCTTATATGCATTGTTAAATATATAAACAATAACTGATCTTAAATATACAAATAAAAGAACATATTATAGTGTCACTCTCAACCATTTCATCAAATATAGTTTATCTCAAAATCAATCATAAAACAACAAAGGAAAAAAGGTAAAAGGATAATTGTCAAGTGAGATATGTGTAATTTGCCCGTACAATTTTATTTTATTTCTTTTGAGATTGTTTTCTTTGGCTTGGTTTGTGTCGTTGGAGTTAAAGAAGGAAAAGGAGGATTCGTAGGTGATCACTATCAACTGTCAAAGTTGATAAGGTTGGTTCAATTTATTTATTTTTCAAAATTATTTGGCTATTTGTAATATTTGTATTATACACAGGAAAAACATAATAGATTCCTAAACATGGACTATGTGAAAAAGGCTGAAGGTGTTTCAATATGGACTATGGGAGTTACTTTAAGACCAAAGTAAGATTACTTAAGTTATAAAAGAAAACAAAAGAAAAGGCTGAAGGCTAAGTATGATTACTTAAGTTATAAAAGAAAAGAAAAGAAATGAAATGAAATGATTGTGATTTCTCTCATTCTTGTTTGAATAGATAAGAAATAAAAGAAAAGAAATGATTATGATTTCTCTCTTTCTTATTTGGTTAGATTTCATAAGAGAAAAGAAAAGAAATTATTTTATGTTATATTATCAAAATAATATATTTTTTTCCCCCTCCCACAAAATCTTTTAAAAAAAAAATCCAACTTATTCGAAAAACTGTATTAACCATTTTTGATGAAAGAAAACGATCTCCAACCTTGCTCTTTTTAAAATTTTATCAAAGTTGAGTGGAAATATGATCGTTGAAAATTTGGTGAAGTGAAGGATTTGGTTTTTGTTTTTCTTGATTCACTATCTAATTTACTTCTATCTTTTGGGGAAAAAAAAGATTGGAGGGGGCGCTTAAGATTGGAGTTCACTTTTTTAGCTATTTATTCATCAAATTTGAATTTCATGAAAGAATTGGTGAAGTATTTGAGATGCTCTGACGCTGTGTTTGGTTGGGGATATGGGAAAGGATTTGAAAGAAAAAATGTGTGTGAAATCATGTGAAATGTAAGTATATTTTTTTCACATTGCATCACCTTTTTCCTTTCCTTTTCATTTTCCAATTCCAAATCTCTTCCCAAATCCCCAACCAAACACAACGTAAGAGACTGTAAATTGGTAAATTTAAAATTTCATCTTTTGTAGTTTTCTCATAAATTTTGCTGGCGAAAGATCCTGTTCTGAGATGTTAAGCTTGGAATGGTGGGTGGGGTTGAATTGAACTTGATTTGAGTATTTTTACCACCAGCTGTTAACTTGAGTGCAACTAATTTGCTTATGATGGATGAGAGGAAGCTAAGCATTAGAATGTAAGAGATGGTTTCAATTAGGCAAGAAAGATGGTTCTCGTGAAATTTAAATTAGATGTGTGGCAGGGGAAAACTTTTGAAGGACAAAAGCAGGTGTGGAGGATATAGTTTAGGGTGGAGGAGAGTAGATGATGATTATGTTAGATACACAGCTGGTACCATTTTTTTAACAAAATTCTTTGATGTATTTTTGTAGTGAGCCTTATTTTATGCCTTGGTATAAACCAGAAGATGGGTTTGTCCAGCATGAATGCATGATTGTGTATTCTGATTTCCTTGGTATGCTAGAGGAGTAATTGATATTGATCTAAGAGTATCCAAAGAGGAACCCTTCTAGAGTATGAAGTTTGTGTGTGTTTCATGAATGGTTTATCAATGTCTAGCATGTCTTGAACATAAGAATAATGAAGAAAGAAATGTCTATTGTGCATATACTCACCATGTGTAGTCTTAATAAATTCAAGATTGTGCCTTCATCAATAAAATTGATTGTATAATTACACACACACACACACACACACATATATATATATACATTTGTATACATCTGCAAATACTGATTTAGAGTAACAAACACAATATTGAAACCTGCTGAAAAAAGTGAATCTGAATACCCAATTAATCAAACGCAATGCCTAACAGAAACAAACCTGCTGGGAATATACTTGTTTCACCCAAAAAAATTAATACTCAAGAAAAAGAATTAGATACCTAAAAAAAATATTACCAGATTCAGAAGAAACTCAGAAAAATATACTTGGTTTAAAGATAGAAATACTCAAAAAAATATACTTGCTGGAAATATAGAAAAAGATTCTTCATTCCTTTTGATTTGCTCACTTGAACAGTATACCAGATTCTTTTGGTTTGCACTCTTGTTGGAAATATACCAGATTCTTCCTTTAGATTCTTCATTTTGCAGTTGCTCCATTCGATCGTCGTCAATATTTAAGGGGGTTTGGGGCTGCCACTGTTGATGAAGAATGTGATGATGGAGAGAGAGAGAGAGAGGAAGAGAGAAGACGAAGAGAATAATGGGGGGTTCGGGGTTGGGTCTCCGGGAAGGGGTGGGTCTCTGGCAATCCGACAGGGAATTAAAGAAGAGCATAGGAATGGGCTCCAATGGATGGAGAGAGAGAGAGAGAGAGAGGGTCTGCGTTCAAATTTTGAAATTTGGAATAGAGAGACAGATTTTGAGATGGAGTAGGTGTGAGAGAGATACATTTTGAGATATTTTGGAACTTATATTTTGGACCATTAGATGTTGATGGTAATTGATCTCAACCATTGAAATGTCTAAATAGGACAAATGAGAGTGAGACATTTTTAACCATTAGATTTAGTCAATCTAAACATATTGACACATATACATTTTGAGCCTTTAAATTCAAACCAAGCCTTCCATTGGGGGTGTTTGGTAGGGCTTTTTTTAGCCAACTTATGGCTTCTGGCTTTTAAATAGTTATTTTGGACTGTTTGGTTAAACTTATTTCAAACAACTTCTGATTCTAGCAACTTATTTTAAGTGAAAAAAGCTGATTCTGAGAAGCTGCTCACCCCTTGCTTCTGATTATCAGCTTCTGTTGTGGACATATTAATTCACGGTTATACTCTTAGATTTTTTTATTTTTTATTTTTTTAAAAATAGAAAAAGACACAAATGGACTATAAAATATTATTATTATTTTTTATGAGAAATGTAGACAAATAATGAATAATAAAAAATAAAAGTTAATTAAAAAAGCTACTTCACAGCTTATTTAACAAACACTACTCAACAACTTAAATCTATAATCCAACAGCTATACCAAACAGATTAACAGTTTCTGATTAAAGTCATAATCTATAATCTGTTAAGCTATAATCTATAATATATTTTAACAGCTACACCAAACAGCACCAATGTATAGATATATATAACAGAACAAAAAATCAAAACAATACAATGGAACTAAAGCATAGTTTCTTAAGCAAACCATATATATATCTAACAGGATTTATATACATTTAACAGGACAAAAAGCAAAAGGATACAGCAGAAAAAAAAAATAAAAAAAAGAAGAAGGGAGAGCCGTGTACTGTAGCAGTATCTAACTGCCTCTTATTTATAATAGTAAGATATATATCTAACATGGCTGGGCTGTAATTAGAAATTTTCAATAAAGACAATAGAGATCTCCATTTTAATTTATGCAGTTACAATATCATCAAAATTCAAAATCAATTAATTACTTTCTCATTATTAACAAATTTTTTTTTTCTTTTTCTATCTTTTTAAAATTATTTTTTCCCTTACAAATCATTTAAATCATTCCATAAATCCAAGACGTAAAAACATCCTTAATAACAATTTTTTTGATGAGTTGTATGAGTGATTCCATATTAAGACAAAAATGAGTTTTTCCAGGGCCATTACTTGATGCTGAACTACCAATCTCTATCCGAGTAATGCTAGAAATCGACACTTTTAGACCTATAAATTCATCCACAATGATGTAACATTGTCACTTTGTTTTTCTGTAGCCTACTTTGATTCAACAAAAATAAATAAATAAATAATTCTGGAGAACTCTTATACAACCTAAAAATTGAAGAGGGGATGGACACAAAGAAGGAACGGATCTAATGCCCCTTCATGAAACAACTTGAGGCGAAGATAATTTTAAAAACTACCTGAAATTGACAAGTTTGATTTAAAACACCTGCATTGGGTAAAAAACTCCACGGTTGAGAATCACCACCAAATGAATACAAATGCAGATATTAGATGAATGAATGAAAGGGAGAACCCGTGTTTACCAGTCCACAGAACAGCACCCACTGCTCATTCCACAGCTGACTGGTGGATGTTTCCAAGTCAGCCATTTTAAAACATTTGACTCAATTCAACCAAATCCTAACTCAAATTAGACCAGTAGATATTGGCTCAACCAAATGAGTTATGTATAAAGTGCACAACAACATGATTCCAATATATTCTAGTATGCACTCTACTGAAAACCAACAACCCACTTCAAGTAAGTTAACCAATAAATAAAAATCAGTATACTAAACAGATCACTTTATCAATAGTTTTTTTTGCCTTTATTCCCTTCTCTTTGAATTCTCAAAACCATCACTTTCTCCGACTATACACATACACGACAATACATAACAATAACATAAAAGAGCTCTAAACTAAAAAAATCCAAATAAAATATAGCAATACATCCACTGATATAATTTAGACAAAAGAACCCAACATGGAGGGCCTTAAAGCCATTCTACAGACCTATGGATAATCCAAGTCTCCTCTTTCTTAGGCGCTCAGCAATGATGAAAGCAAGCTCGAGAGATTGAGAAGCATTGAGCCTAGGGTCGCAGTGGGTGTGGTAGCGTGAACTCAGGTCATCAAATGTCACAGTTTGTGACCCCCCAATGCACTCTGTCACGTTTTGGCCAGTCATCTCTAAATGAACTCCTCCCGGGTGACTCCCTTCTTGCTCGTGCACATCAAAAAATGCCCTCACTTCCGCCTGTCCCAACCAAATACAAAAGCTTAATATTTTAAATGATTAATTATTGTCGAGGAATGAACAAAAGAAATTCAGCGTTTACTTCAGCAGTTCTAAACCTTTCATTCTCATAAGTCTCACCCTATGTTATCTAGAACATAGATCATTCTAGTACGTGACATGTCTCAATTTTTAAAATGTAATAACAATAGAGGTAGACTTGAATAGATTACAATATAATTATCTAAGTTACTTCCAAAATAATTTTCTTTTAACAATTAGTCATCCAATAAAATATAGCTTTTGACAGATTTTTGACTTTTGTCTGATTAAAACTTCACTTATCTCAAATTTTAATTCATTATATTTGATTTTTTTTTCCCATACTAAAGAAACCTTTAAAAAAATATACAGTGGATACAATATTTTAGAACAAAAATATACCATGTTTCAGAACGTGCGTTCCAAAACGTAATTTGCCAGGGTATTAAGAGTTTTTTTTGGTACACTAGTTTCGTCCCACTTTCATGGAGAGAAACATAAAATTTTAAAAATGAAACTAAGAAAAAAAATAAAAGTAGTGTTTGGTAGAGTTTTAGAATTATGATTTGAGAATATAATTGTATTTTGAGTTTGTGAGTTTTGAAATTATGATTTGAAAAGAGAAAATTTGTTTGATTATGAGTTTTGAATTGAGTTTTGAATTTTTGATGTGACATATGAAATAAGAAAAATTGTTTGGTTATGAGTTTTGAAAAGAGTTTTTAAAACTTAATTGAAAAACTTATAACTCATAACAAAACACACAACTCAAAACTCTATTGAAAATTTTATTCAAAACTCATAACCAAACTCTTTTTAAAATTCAATTCAAAAAAATAATTTGTCAAGAGAAACTACGGTAGTGTTTGGTAGAGTTATAAAATTATGATTTGAGAATTGAGTCGTATTTTGAGTTTGTAAGTTTTAGAATTATGATTTGAAAAAAAAAAAAAAAAGAGTACTGTTCCGGTCAACCGGTCGGACATCCGAGACAATGTCCGGGTCCGGATGTCCTAGTGGACGATTGGATAGACCAAAAATTTAAAAATTGTCTGCTTTACCAAATATGTTTTCAAAATGTATTTAAAATTGATTTGGAAATATGATTTAAAAACTCAAACCAAATATAACATTAACATACAATGTAAGGGTAGAATTAATTTTAGAAAACTCTACCAAACAGCCAAAGTTTCCACCTAACAAACCGGGTCCAAAGGTCACAGATAACGGCATATTAACCACCTACCTACCAAAGAAAAATCTCGCATTAATCATTGAATATGGGTTTTTAAATAATCTCATTTTGGCTATTCACCAAAACACCTCTTCATGTTGTCACTTTCCCACCTACTACACCCTATTGACAATCTTGTTCTAAGTCACTTACCAGGGAATGGAAAATATATTTCCAGTAAGCTACATGATGCCCCCATAATTCAAGGTGTTCAACTAGTTGCCCCACCTCAGGATAGAGCCAAGACTGATCCAGCTTAATAATTGAGAAAAGAAGACCAAAACTATGGACCCTCTTCATAAAACATGCACATGGGTAAGGACCTCACTGTCCTAATGGAAGCGAGCATTGATGAATGATGCAATTTTCAGATTATGACTGATTTACCATAGGATTAAAACTGCTGTTGTGGTAGAAAATTAGTAGTACATCTCTAAATTATCACAATACCATTGCAGAAAACCTAGCTTAAATTGGTTAATATATGAATAAGCGGTATAATAAAAATCTATCAATAATTGAACTCATGTATACAAAATAATTCAACTTTGCTCCATTTAAGAGAGTACTTTGCTCCATTAGTTTATTTCAAGCATGAATTGATTACCATATTGTTAGCTTATTATAAATTCATCATATTCGATGCATTCTAAAAAAGAAATTATGCAAAGAAAGAAAGGGGAAAAAGAGCAAACAGCAAGAAATTTACCCTGATGGCATCGAAGGGACGAGTTTTGAGACCGCAAGGAGCCTTGATGGTGTTTCCATGCATAGGATCACTAACCCAAGTTACAATTTGTCCTGCCCTACGAACTGCCCTGATTAGATGAGGAAGCTTGACTCTCATGTTCTCTGCTCCCATTCTTGTGATAATTGTAATCCTCCCTGGTTTATTCTGAGGATTCAAAATCTCAATGAGCCTAACTAGCTCGTTTGGATCCATTTTGTCACTCACCTGTGGCATCAAAGGCAATTTAATTGGTCTGCCTAATTTTCCTCCAAATTTTATATTACTAATTAAAAAATCAAAAACTTGAAGCAAAGTTAACATGGAAAGTACACCAAAATTATATTGTTACCTTAATTCCAAGGGGATTAGCAACTCCTCTCAAAAACTCGACATGGGCGCCATCCAACTGGCGAGTTCGTTCCCCGACCCAAATGAAATGGGCAGAACAATCATAGTACAAGCCAGAAGTTGAATCCATCCTAGTAAGTGATTGCTCATAAGGCAAGAGCAAGCACTCGTGTGATGTCCAAAACTCGGTGGTTGTCATTATAGGGTGATCAACAGTAAGTCCAGCAGCAGACATGAATCCAAGGGCCTCATCAACCCGGTTAGCTAGTTCCCGATACCTAATGTGTCATATCAACAATAAACCTATTATTATAAGGATCTACACATATATAACAACCCATCCCAAAACCCCTTTCAAGAATTCAAGCACAAAAGGTCTTTTTTTTTAACACCTAAAAGCCGGCTATATAATTGAATTAACTCCAAAAGATTGATTCACTAGTGATTTTAATTGAGGTCTAAATAAGTTATGGATTCACCGCAAAAGCATCAAATTATAAAAAGATGAAAAATGCTTGGGGAGCACTAATTAGTGCTCCACTAATTAGATGGCAGTGGGTCCCGCCATCAATGATGTGATGTTTTGATCTTGGAGTTGTGTTTTTTTTTTTTTTTTTTACTTTTTTAATGCATTAGTGCTATTAGTGGTGATGTTTTTAGTGGGATGAATCATTGTTGTAAAAAGATATCAAGAGAGCACATGAAAGTGACCTAGAAATCAGAATATACTCACTGTTCAAAACAGAAATATTCAGGAATTTTTTTAAAAAAATAAATAAATAAATAAATAAATAAAAAGAGTTGCCTTTCAAACTAAAAGCAGAATTAAGAAATAGAAAAGAACATACCTGTCTCCCTGTTCACTGTGCTCTGTGAAATCTAAATTCCACTGGGTGACCCTTTGCATGGCGGCATAGCCTCCGGTGGCGAAAGCCCTCAACAGATTGAGAGTAGCTGCAGATTGGCAATAGGCTCTGATCAATCTCTCTGGATCTGGAGTCCTTGACTTGAGATCGAACGCATCTCCATTGATATTGTCCCCTCTGTAACTCGGCAGTTTCACTCCGTTCTTCTCCTCCATCCCCTCCGATCTTGGCTTCGCAAACTGACCCGCCATTCTTCCCACCTAAATCACCAAACACCCACAATCTCAATTCAATTCCAACACAAGAAAACGAACGAACAGAGAAAGAAAAAGAAAAAGAAAAAAAAAACCATTAAAAAGTGACCTTGATTACGGGCATTTGGCCACCGAACATCAACACAGCACCCATCTGGAGGAGAATCCTGAAGGTATCGCGAATGTTGTTGGCATTGAACTCCTTGAAACTCTCGGCGCAATCTCCTCCTTGAAGCAAAAACGCATTGCCCATCGCAGCATCGGCGAGGCGCTCCTCGAGACTTCTCGCCTCTCCGGCGAACACGATCGGAGGGAACGCATCGAGGGTTCGGAGAACCGACTCGAGCTGTTCCTGATCCGGGTACTCCGGAAGCTGAAGCGCCTTCTTCGTCTTCCAGCTATCGACGGTCCATTTCTTGGGAACTGTATCGGGCTTCGTCACCGTCGTTGTGGCGGTGGAAGAGGCCGCCGCCGCCGCAGAGGTGGTGGGCTTGGGTGGCTTGTCGGAGACAATGGGGTTCTTGGAGGGCTCGGCGGCATGGACGGCGGAGATGGGTTTGATGGATTTGGAGCGAACTGGTTGGTGGGTTGGGGAAGGAGATAGGAGAGATTGATGAATCCAAACCAGAGTTTTGGTAGGAAGAAGAGAACTACTGCTTGTGAGAGACATTGATTGGTAGAGAGAGAGAGAGAAGGGGGGCTTACCTGTGTGTGAGTCGATCGGTTGCAGAGATGCAAAACCAGAGAGTGAGTGTGAGACTGATGAGATGAGAGAGTGAGGGATACAGATCGGATCAGATCAAATCAGAGAGATATATATCTGATATATTATATATAGATATATAAGTGACTGACGGCTGTCTGGTAAAAGAGAAATATGGGTAGTGGTGGTGGAAGTAGTTGAGATTGCGAAGGTTGTTTTCGGTAAATCACCCAGATTACCAATCAATCAAACGATTCACAAGTCAATCATTTTTATTCTTTCATGATCATTAGGCTTTGAAATTTATCAATAGGAAAACAGAATGCGTAAAAAATGTAAAATGTTTTAAAATTTGGGAGATTTATCGATAAATTTCAAAATGTAAATTTATGAATCAATTAGTTTTATTTTTATTTTAGTAAATCGTTTAGTTCTGAGAAATTCTGAGGGACGTAATTACCCTTATTTAGACATTATTAGTCAGATGCGACTGCTAGGCGTGTTTTGGGTGTGGCGCGTGTGTGTTTCATGTGCGTAATTAGTGAATGGATGTATGGTGTATTGCATGTGATACATGGTCAAGGTGTCACAAAATGCCAAACTGTATAAGGGGTTTTTTTGGACTAGGTTGGTGTGTTTGGGGTTTAACACAAGGCCCACAACACAATTTGAAAGGGATTCCAATTGTGACTGATTGAACACCCACATACCCATAACCCGTTCAAGGTTAACCCATTCTGCAACACACTCACTCATCTCTCTCAGCATTCTCTCTCTCTCACATGAAGACCCAGCCACACACATATCTCCTCTCTCTAGCAAACACAAGACACCATGCACACAAGACACCATTAACACACACACAGCAGCCACACTCATACACACCATACACAACACACACACACACACACACACACACACACACACACCAAACCCAGCTCTCTCTTCTCTCTCTAAGACACACCCAGCGCATAACACACACACGGCACAGAGGAGACACACACTCAACCCACACACACAGACAGCACAGTAGACACCACCGCTGCCATTACCCATCACCACCACCTTCCTTACCATCCTCCAAACAACACCACCAGCTGTTCCTTCTGCTACTCCTCCACCGACTGTTCCTCCACTTGCACTGCTTGCTCCACCGGCGCCTCTGGCACTGTATTGAGGTGTTAAAGCATATAATGATAATGGATTAGTGCCTCGAGCGATACGATTGCTTAAAGACAAGTATCCTGATCTTGTTATCTACACTGCTGTCACCGAGTTCTCCCTTACTATGGTGTGGTTAAGGATGATTATGTAATGATCAAGGAATGTTGTGTTGGCCCAAAGAAGAGGGCTGTTACGCTTCATCAGACTCTGCTCGCACAGACGTCCCGTTTGGCCCTCGAGGAGATACCAGGTAGAGAATGGTGTATACATGGCAGTTTTCCGAATCTCTGGGGGTGTGTCACACAGTCGTCAGTAAGGAAGAAACACATTAAAATTCGAAAACCCTACCCCATAATGGCTGAAATGTATTTGAATGTATTATCAAAATTAGCCAAAACGGAATGAGCAATGTTTTCAAAAAAAGAACTGACCCCGCAAAACAGTACCAGATTAACCCAAGGGCATGCTCGTCCACATAGTGATACCAAAAATGAAAAAAAAAAAACAAAAAGGACCAAATCAACCTACCAGTAGGACTAACGAGTACAAAAGAATAAAAGTGGGACTATTTGGTATAACAGTTTGAGAAGCAGGATTTATTGGTAAATAATCCTTAAAATTTTAAAATTAATTTTATATGTAACTTTTGGTTTAACTTTAAAATCATAATTTTAATCAAAAAATTTTAAAATTCTTTTCAAAATTTATAACTAAATACTCAATTCAAAACTTTAAAAAAAAAAATTAAAAATATTTTTTTTTATTTTGTTATTTAAAATTATTTTTTGTATTGGATAAATTACAATGACACCCCTTGAGATTTGTTTAATACAATTAGTCCTCTCATGTTCTAAAAATTATATTTTTCTCCCTAAAATTTAAATTTTCATTATAATTTAATCTATCTGTTAGTCAACTGTGAAATCAATTTACGGAAAAACTAATATAATAAATTAATTTTTTTAAATGTCTATTTTACTCCTATTAAAAAAAATTAAATAAAAAAATTACTAGATGAATAAAGAAAATCTATAAGGAATTACAAAAAATCATTTAGGGTTGGTTTGGAATATTAAATTCTTGTTTAGTTTTTATTTTGGGACTAAAAAAAAGCATAAAAAGACAAAATAGGCTATATAAGACAATAAGACAAAATATCACATCTAAACTATAATCATTATACTTTTCTCTCATAAAAGTCAAAAAATCTCAAAAACAAAAACCAAACGAGGTAAAAAAAGTCAGGCTAAAAAAGTCTCAACGCAAAAAAGTTGACTACCGTTTCCAATGCTAAACGAAGCTTAAATAACTTTTTATTTTTATTTTTATAAAAAGACATGTAAAAAAGTAGAGAGGAAATGTTGATTGATGTGACCCAAATAAGTATACTTATGCAAAAAAGTGCATTTATATAGTTTAACCCAAATAAGACTTTAATACTAATATATATATATATATATATATATGCTAAAAAAGTCTCAACGCAAAAAAGTTGACTACCGTTTCCAATGCTAAACGAAGCTTAAATAACTTTTTATTTTTTTTTTATAAAAAGACATGTAAAAAAGTAGAGAGGAAATGTTGATTGATGTGACTCAAATAAGTATACTTATGCAAAAAAGTGCATTTATATAGTTTAACCCAAATAAGACTTTAATACTAATATATACTAATATATATATTATTATTATTATTATTATTATACTATTAAACATTTAGGTAATAGTATGACACACAAGCTTTTGTGGTGTTAAATATCACAAATATTATAATTAGATCATTTTCAATTATAACTAAAAAAATAGTTATAATTAAACACTGCATAATACATAACTAAATACCTTTTAAATCATAACCAAAATAATGTTATAATCAATAATTATAATTAATACCATAACATGTCATAACCAAAGACCGCGACTGGGGCATATAAAATTTTCTCAAACGGTAAATTGTTTGTTAATTTTATATATGCAAATAAGGGTAAAATAAGCATTTAAAAAATTAATTTCTTATATTAGTTTTTCCGTTAATTGACTTAATGATTGACTAATGGAATGATTAATAGAAGTTTAAATCTTAGGGATTAGGGAGGGTATGTAATTTCCAGAACGTGCAGAGTAGGGGTATGCAAAATATTGCCAAATCTGTTAAAATCGCACCGATCCACATCAATTTGTACCGCTCTAACTGCTAACTGCGGTTTAAACTTTAAATTTATAATTCGTCAACCGAACCGCACCGCTCCGCTACAGTTGATACATATATATTTTTTAACTTCTAATGAAATATCAATGTAAAAATGAGTGTGAGAGAGATTTAATATATGAAATTTATTACAAATTAGTGGTTATATATATGAAACATATTATATAAAATTTGTTATATATCTAAAAATATTATACAAATTAGTGTTATGTATTATGCAAATGTATGATAATTAGTTAGAATATTTTTTAATCTGCCAATCCGCCAAAAAATCCCTCAAATCGCAATTCGTCAATCCACTAACCCACTGTTCGGTTTGTAATTTAACTCTCAAACCGTCGGAATCGCACCGCGTACACCCCTAGTGCGGAGGGTGTTTGGCATGATGAATATAAGTGCACTTAATTAGATAAGTGTATATATTTGAGTCACATCACCTCTCTACTTTTTTGCACATATTTTCGTAAAAAGTCAAAAATATACTTATTTAGATTATTTGTTATGATTTAAATATATATGGGCAATCCAATTTTTTTAAAAATTTTAAAAAATTTAAATATATAAAAAAATAAATAATAAATAAAATAAAATATTTTAAAAATAGAGCCCACAAATGTAGTAAATACATCACACATTAAAATAAATAAATAAATATTTACAATAAAAAATAATTACCCTAAAAATAAAATTATGAAATTTTTTAAATATTTAATAAAGATAAATCCAAAAAATTTCAAAATACAACTCAAAATTCAAAAACTTAAAACTCAAAATACAACTTAAAATTCTTTTCAAAACTCATAACCAAACAAATTTTCTCTTTTCAAAACTCATTTCGCCTTCGTTTGGAATGTAAGTTGGCTTTTTGACTAGGCTAAAAAGCCTCATTTGGGATGGACTTTTGGAATTTTTTGACTTTTGTAACAAAAAATGAAATGATTATGGTTTGGATGTGACATTTTGTCTTATTGAGTTAAAAAACTATTTCGTTTTTTTGTGACTAAAATATCTCCAACTCAATCTAAACCTTCATGCCAAACGAACCCTTCAAAAACTCAAAACTCAAAATGCAACTTAAAATTAATTTCAAAACTCATAATCAAACAAATTTTCTCTTTTTAAAATTTATTTAAAAAACTTAAAATACAACTTAAAACTCAAATTATGGTTCCAAAACTAAATCAAATAATTTTTTTTTTTTTTTTTGGTTGAAGTCATGTCGTGATTTTTTTTAAAGAATTTTAGGATCTTAGGCAAGGCTATCCCTATCTACTAAGTGCTAATCGGTGAAGAACCACAAAAGGAGAAACATATTCCATATTTGAGGCTGAGGGAAATGATGATAAGTGGATCGACAATCTATGATCAATTCCAAATGTGCATTCTACTATATTATTATACCAATCATTAGCATTTACTATAACACTTTCGCCTTACGTACGAGAATAAAAAATGACAAAATTTAACTGACGGTGAATATAATTATGACATTAACACATACAGAGATTTGATCATCTTATCTTGTGGGTAATTCTATTTTTATCTCACAAATTTTCTTAGTATACACTATTTATTCAGTAGACACCAAATATAATTTTAAGATTTTTATTTTTGTTCAATGCACACCATTAATTTTCAAAAAC